AAAATTATTTTTGTTGCTACTTCATAACTGTAATTTTGCTACTGTTATGAATCATAATGTAAATATCTGATATGCAGGATGTATTTTCATTGTTACAAATTGAACATCATTAAAGCATAGTGATTAATCACAAAAACAATATGTAATTATATATGTGTTTTCCAATGGTCTTAGGCGACCCCTGTGAAAGGGTCGTTCGACTCCCAAAGGGGTCGCAACCCACAGGTTAAGAACCGCTGCTTTAAGGAAAAGTGTTTGCCCTCTTGTTAGTTCCTTTGCGTCTGGTGGACTTACTCTGTATGCAGTTGCCATAATCTAGACTCTAGATTAGATTCTAGAGGGAAATGAGCAGTTTTGAAAGTGGAAAGTAGATTACTAGTGGAGAGCCTTGAGGTACTGTGAATGCCAATCAACGGAGGGATGTAGCCCAAGCGCAGTGAGGCCGTGGAGGTGGCCAGAAGGACCGGGGGTGTTCGGAACCCCTCCTAGAAGACGAGGCTGCCACTGGGCTGACTCGAGGGGGAACTTGGGTCCCTGGCCAGTGAACGCAACTTTAGGCACTTAGCTGCTTTCCAACCTTCTTGAATGAACTTGAACTGTGACTGGTAGGAGTTCCTGGAGTGGCACTCCCCTCCGACATCAGCCCGCAGAGCCGGCACTGAAGGGCAGCGCTGGCTGCCCCTCCAGCCGCCCAGCACACGCGTTACAACCTGCGAGCACAGAGATCACTCGACCCATTAACTAAGCGTCTCCCTTGTGCGCCCAGGTTCTATGCTGTGGTCACGAGTTGTAACGCTGGCGGGGGATTCCTGAAGCCGCCCTCTGGGTTTGGATGCTGCGAGCCTTAGACCACCTCTCGTGGTCTTCCCTGCCCCAACCCCGGGGCACCCGGACCTGGGGAAGAACCTCCTGAAGAAACATCTCTTGAAAGTGCCTCCACTTCCACAGCCACTTTTCCCACCTCCATTAGCACTGCGGCTCCTGACTGGTTTCCATGCCGACTGGCCCTGTCTCCTTGGTGCACATAGAACTAACCAAGTCCCCTCAGATCCCTCTTCTGCCTCAAATCTTCTTTTCTAGTTTGGTTCCTACTTGAATTTCAGCCTAATGCCTTTGTTCCTTCTTCCTCTCCAGCCCCTCAAAACTCTCCTTGTTCCCCAGGGAAAATCATGCTTTGCCACCTCTAGGCCTTCGCCTGCCCCTCACCCCTCAGCCTCCCCAGCCCCATCCTTCCCTCCTTTTACAATGAGGCCTCATCCCAGGACCTCGTCCACAAAGCAGTCCCCTCCCTGGCGCCCATGCTCTCCTTGGGGACTGTCGGGCCCCCGATGGCAGGTGTCCGGCAGATTGCGGGTGGGGATGGGTGCGGGGCAGGCAGTAGCGCACCTGCCCCCTGTGGGGTGTCACTCTGTTCCTCTCAAATTGGACCCCTGCCCGGACAGAGGCTCTCCCTCCTTCCACGTGGCCTGTGGCCGGGCTGCTCTTCACGTTCCCCGGAAGACACTGCGCCTGGAGATCTGCTCCGGTAGGCTGGGTGGTGGAGGCCCCACACAACCCAGCCCTGCCGCCAGGGTGGGGCCTGGGCCCCTGCAGCACCCCTCTCTCCAGGCGCTGCGCAGCCCGGCCACCACCCTGCCCTGTACCGAGCATCCCGGGGAGGGAGAGGCCTGGTCACCGAGGTCACCCCTCCCAGGCCCGGCACCCGGCCTCCTGGAGGGTCAGGCTGGGGGCCCAGGACGCCCAGTTCTCAGGCTCCAGCTGGTCCTCAAGTCTGGAGACCCCAGGACATTTGTTGGTGCCTTGGCAGCTCCTGCTGCGCTCCCTGGCCCGCTGTGGGTCCCCAGATCTGGGCTGCAGGCTGCCCAGGGTGGGTTGGGGACCAGGGTCAGGCCTTTCCTCTCCCACTTCTAGGCGCCAGGTGGCGGCCACTCGAAGAGTTGGTCAGGGCCCTGCAGAGGATAAGCCAGTGTCACCTCTCCAGCTCCCATACCCCTCCTTTCTGCCCCCCCCCCTTTGCCTCCCTGCCCCAGGCATAGGCGGGGAGGAGGCTCTCAGCCCCGGCTGCACCCAAATCTCTCCGAGTGGTTGTCACCTCACCCCCACCCCGCCCACCTCTTCCGCAGGCAGGGGGTTTAAGCCTACCCTGTGAAGTCAGGATTATTACCCCTATTTATTTACTAACTCAGGTGGGGTCTCCACCCGGTGTCCTCCGGGGACACCAGTGCCGTGCTCTGAAGGAAATTCTGGGATT